AATATTATGTTAAAATAGTGGATGTTAAATAGGTTTGTACAATAAGTGCAAACAAGTTTAACCAAAAAATATTTATTTCTCACAATTATGAAGAATGGAGGGTTAGGGTCATTAATGTGGGCCACCATAACATCAGTAACAGGTCAGTTTGAAATGAAAGACACTAACCTGTCAAGATTCATACATTTTCTTAAATTTTGGGGTCTTTGTTTTTATCCTTGTGGTATCAAAAATGGTATCGAATATTTTCCTGAGTATCGGTATGGAGTTGAAAATGTTAGTATCGTGACAGCCCTAACCACGAGGGGAAAAATTGTTTTAAAAAGGGGCAGTACGCCCGACTTAAGCTTCTGTCAGAAGGGTCCTTACCCTCTCGGAGACCAGTTCGGCCACCAGGTCCAGGTGCTGCTGGGTGTTGCTCTGCAGGTTCTTCAGGATGAGCAGCTAGAAAAGAGGAAACTGGAGTCAGCAACGGGGACCAGCCGGAAGGGGGAAGGCTCCAGACTAGGCTGGTCCCGATCCGATTTCTGGATCGTATCGGCCGGCAGGAGAAAATGCAGATCCAGACTCCAGATCCAGTTTTATTTTAAGTCCGATCCCAAACAGCATTAGCATTAACATGTTTGTTTTGGATTAATCAGATAGTTTTGACCAAAAACTACTAAAAGGTTCCTCATCTAATTTCCCATTATGTCTGAATCTGCAAACAACCATTAAGTCGCCTCTCAACCAGAGTTTTTAAGTCGTTTTCTCTCTCAGTTTACAGTTACAGTGGGGGAAATAAGTATTTGACCCCTTGCTGATTTTGCAGGTTTGCCCACTTACAAAGAATGCAACGATCTATAACTTTAATCATATGTACATTCTAACAGTGAAAGACAGAATCCCAAAGAAAATTCCAGAAAATCACATCATATAAATTTATAAAAATTGATAACCATCTGATGAGGAAAAATAAGCATTCTTTGTAAATGTGGGCAAACCTGCAAAATTAGCAAGGGGTCAAACACTTATTTCTCCCAATGTATGTGAAAATGGAAATAATAAATAATGTTGGACTCTGTGGGGACTCTGTGGGGACTCTGTGGGGACTCTGTGGGGACTCTGTGGG